ACTGCGGGGTCGACAACGGCGACCGTTCCAGGTCCGCGAGGCTGGGCGGGTCCTCGGGGTCGGCGCGCCCGCGTGGCGGCGTGGCGGTTGCGGCGGCGTGGGTCGTCGCGCTGCTGGTGGGGCGAATCATTCTGTGAGGAGGGGGGATGGGGGACCGGGCGGCTGGATTTCTCAGGGGGTGCTGTTGTTGTTGACTAGGGGGAGGGGGTGGGAGAACAGGAGCATCTGTTACACAGTCCCCCCTCCCTTACGTATACCTCCTACCTAGACACCAAAGTAAAACTAGGGCCAAGATTATTCTGGCATGATGGTGGATATACCGCCGTGGTTTACTCGAGTTTGTTCGCGCCAAGGAGGCCGCGCGTGCTGGCAGGCCGCGGCACTAGCAAGGGAGCAGCAACAGAAAGAGAGTTTGACGTTGGCACCCAGAAAAACAAGTCTTGTTATTCTTATTGTCCCGGGCCTTGGCGCCGTCGAACAGCCACCAATGAGCGGCGAGAGGTACAGTATGGGCCGCTGTCCCGGGCAAGGCTTATGCGGCCCCTATCTCATGTGCGCCGTCGACCGCGTCTCAGCCTTGAAGATCCCCCGTCCGGTCCGGAGAGTGCATATGTAAGGCCGCCCACCCAAGCCCTCCGGCCACCGCGGAGACCGCGACCCATGAGTTGGGCTTCCCCCTTCCGCCGCCGCCCTGACTCTCTCCCGTCAACGTGTCTTGTCCTATTTCAAGGCCTCCCGTGGTGGGAGCTCCGCAAAGGGGGAGTTACGAAAAAAGAAAAAAGAGAAGAAGAAAAAAAGAGAGAAAAAAAAGGGATGCGACTCTGTAGGTTGTCCAAGACTGTTACAGCGAGGACGCTTGAAAGTGGAGGAGGCCCCATGGCGGCAGGCTAGGCTTGGAACTTTATCTCTCGTGTACCCATCGAAGCTTAGTCGAGCTTATTTGCGTTTGCGGCTGCTCGGTGAGGCTCGGCCACTTTCCGCTCCTGGCAGGTGGCACGCTGGACCCAAAGCGGCGGTTGAATCAAAAAGGGCAAAAACAATGTGCACAAGGTTTCAAGCCCCGAGCACGCTATCGATCAAGAGAGATTGTCCAAAGTTTTGGTGTGGGCCACCTACCTACCAAGAAAGTGGCAGACAGTATCAAAATAAACAAGGCTGACAGGGCTGCCAACATGCACAAGCGGTCTTATTCCAGACAGACATTTGGCGTTGACAGGCAGCCAGACAGGGAGACGGATGCCCAGACAGCCTGACAGGCGGGCAAGCCCTAGCTGGGACCGCGGGATCGCCACAAACAAATCTTGCGTCGGCACCTGGGCAGCTGGCATGCGGTGGGCGAGTCATTTGTCTGGAGGTCTGGAGGCATTCTTCCATCTGGCTTGCCCCATCAAGTGCCGTCCAACTTCCCCTTTTGACAAGTTGCGGAGCTGGGCCGCACCGGCCACATAGCTACAGTAGCAGTAACTATAACAGTAACTGGCACATGGCAGGGGGGGAGGGGGTCGTATTGAAGGTTAACAACAAACAAGGTTGTTTTTTCGTCACAGCCGCTGACCCGACATGGACTAGCCGCCGACAGGGAGGCTAGCTAGGCGGCTGCTGCGACTCTGTGTATGTGTCCGTTTACTGTCGGTGGTATTGTCAGCGCTATTGCCAGCATGCTTGATTTTCATCGAAACGGGGCTTCGGAGTTGACGAAACGGGCTCTTAGGTAAGATTGTTGAAACAGGCCTATGACCGTTCGTGGGGCCCGTTCGTGCCGAAAACAACCCCACTCGCCTGCTCTTGCCTCTCACAGCCAGGCAGGCGGCTGCAAGCAATCCATCAATCAATGCAATACCAGCACATCTATGTTGATACTGTGCGGCCCCCTTTCTGGGTCCCCCTGGAAAGCTTGACCTCACCTGCCCACATATCCAGTCATCCCATTTTGGTGATTGATCTTGCGTGCTTTTTTCCAAACCACGCGCCGCCCAGAGACGGAACAAGCAATCACAGAATGACGCGCACTTACCGACTAGAGGCTCTTGCTTTTTTTCTTTTTTTTTTCTTTTCGTTGGCCTTATTTCTTCCCCACTCTGTTGATTTGCCCAGTCCGGCAGGGCCTTCCGTCCGCCCTAGGCACCCGTCGCCCCTTCCATCTCGGTCAACATGTGTGGACCTCTCGTCGGCAGTTGCTTTGCGAACCATACAAGCGGAGCTGAGGCCTCACGCGAGCATTTGGCTGTAGGCGGCAGGTACATCCATACCGTACAGTACAGTACGGCAAGGAAGGCGCTGATCCGCGGAGCCCACCGCGAGATTGTCTCCCAGGGAAGGAGCTGCCGCACCAGCAGCGACGGAAACATGGTGGCGCCATGAGGCTGGGTCGAGGGATTTCTTGATTTCCCGGTGACCCAGCCTGGTGGCCCAGCCTGGTGGCTTTCCCGAGAAAACCTGCCTCGTATCTTGCGGTGCCTGCCTTCCCGGGAAGGGTGTGGCGATCAACGGCAACGGCAAAATGAAGCTTAGAATCTGATAGCCTATTCCTGCACCGTTATACCCTGCCTTGCCTTCGTTCTTGGCATCCCCTGTCCTGTCCTGCATCTAACCAGATCGAGAGCTCGGGCTATCCGTAAACCTTGGGCTTTGCAAGAACAGCACAAGACGGCAAACAAACACAATGCAACAATAACCGGCACAAAAACGACGGGACACGTGCGCGGCATGACCGGCGAGGCTGGCGAGGCTGGCCGAGGATATCCACCGAGAGATGGTCCCATGCCAGCAGAGCCCTGCCATTGTGAGCAGCCGTCCACCTCGTTGTCAGTCTCTTATCAAAATGCCTGCATTCAGGGGCTCCCGCGTGCGCCGTCTGGCGGCGGATATATCTACCACCGTCTCGTCTCACAAAAAGATCGGAATCCTAGCGTGAGCAAGGGCAAGAAAACAATACAGACGGAGAGCCCACAAATATGGGCTGCTCGTTACGTGTAGGGGCGGCCAAGCACCGATCGTCCCATCTTGGGCAGGGGGGAGTTTTTGGTGGGACTCGACCACCGTCGTGCTCAGATTCTGCCATCCTCCGAACCCAGGGGAGACCTTGCAAAGGGCCCCAACGGACACCTGCTTGGAGGTCACCAGGGGAAAACAAGAAAGAGGCCCAGTGCCGACTATGTACGCCTGACAAGGGCACATGCCAGAAAGGACCGCCGGGGACCCAAACGCAAAACATGAATGCGGTGGGGCTCGCGCCTATCTGGGGCAACCAGAGCGGGTTCTGCTCCCATGTGGGTCGCTCTCGACGATGCTTTCCAGTTTCCGGAAACGCCGCCAGCACGGCCCATCCCGGCGGGGAGGAAGGTCCGCGGCTGGAAATTGATATTAACACCATCGGGCGCCTCTCCGCTGGCGGCTCCAAACCCTATCGAGCAAAAACGCGGCAGTCCTATGTTACACTAGAGTGTGCGTAAACGAACGCCTTGATCCTGAGAGGGATAGGCTGGGTAGGCGTTGGGCGCCTTACCGTCGTACCCGGCGGTGCCGTTGACACCATAAAGTGTGGCCGCCCAGGCTGCCGACAGGAAATCACAAGATTACCATATATATGCTATACTGTGCAAGAAAGAAAGTATGAGGGGGAGGGGTGACCCGTGACATGACACGCCAACCAATCCTTGGCTGGCGAGCCGGTCAAAAAGAAGAAAAGAAGGAAACACCCCCATACCGCCCATCCTTCCTAGCTCCCTCGCATATAAATAAGGTTTATTCCTCATCCTCCAATGGCCACCCCCTTACCCTTCCTTGCCCCTCCTGGAATCCCGGCCTCGTTCGGTTTAGGAAAAAAAGGGTTGGCAGCCAAGGGGAAATCTAAATTCTTATTTTATTGCTGGTGTCGCGGCCTGCCTGCGTGTCCGGTCGGCATCATGAGCCGATGACCCTGCATCCGTCCCTTTTTTTTTCTTTTTTTTGCTTTCTTCTTCTTGTTGCTTGTTTCTTTTGCCTTCTCTCCCCCTGCCCTTACCAGCCCCTCACTTTCTCCCTCCCTCTCACTTGCCCTGCCTCATCCATCCTTCGGTGTGGAAAAGAAGAAGGAAAGAGGGAAAAAGAAAAGTGGGCGTGCAACAGATAGAGAAAGAAAGGGCTCGCATCCCGCGGCGCCCTGAGCTGTTGACGTCGCCGCCACATTGCGCAAGCCCCTAGGTTAAAGTAGTCCAAGTGTCATGCCGGGATGCATGGTCTTTGTATGTTTCTATGTGGTATGTGGCCAGGTGGTGCCGTCATGCATCCATCTTGCCTTTTTTGTTGTTTGTTGTTTTGTTTTTTGCCTCCCATACCCCTCTCTCCCCAAATGTCACTCTAGTGTGGGAAAGGAACTCCTTCTGTGCGCACCTCATAAACTATAACCACGGAGCAAATATGGATGCATCATACTGTATCGGCATTGCACACTCGGGGAGAAAAAAAGAAAAAAAAGACTACGAGGGTGGGGAATCTGGCTTGATCTCTTTCTCCCCTCCCCGCCGCCGGCAGGGATCACCGCTGTGGAAGAAGAAAACTCCCCCTCCTTCCACACACCCCCGCGGCCGGCGGGCCGACGAGGGAGGCCGGCGGCCGACACAAGGCCAATCCAGTGATCCGACCGCTGGCTTTGCATGTGCATTCCGTCCGCCGTCTGATCTTCCCCTTGCAACCAACTCAACCAGGCTTTCGGGCACTTTTCTGTTTTTGGAACACCGTTGTCTTGCCAGATTCAGAGTTGCAAAAGACGGGACGAGTCAGGGCAAGACGTGTGTGTGTGTGTACATGGACAAGGAGAGAGGACGAGGGAGCAAATAAACATGTTGGGATTAAGTCGGCTGAGCTGCCTACCCCAGCCGCCGCTGCCGGAGAAATTCGGACGCCCATCGCCCCGATGGGAGGATTAGTCCAGATGGCAGGATGAGCGGGGACGAAGCATCACAGTCATGACGAGCGCAGAAGGGGGGAAAAAAAGTACATGGCTTGCCCCGAGATTCGATTCAGACGGTGACGGCATATACGGGCAGGGTGCTAACTTTTGGTTCCCAAGATGCAAGGATGGTAGTCAACAAACGCCGCCGAATACCGTGAGTGAAAGTTGTAAATAATAGAATGGCAGAGCCAAGGCCCCGAAGTGTATTGTGCGTGTGTGAGAGCGAGCCCCGACTATGTGGCACCCATAACCCCTCGCCGTGAAAGAGACAGTGAGAACCAACAAGGCAATCACCCCCAAAAAGTCGAACGCCACGCGCCGTGCCCGTCCCCCTTTCCCCCCGTATGTCGTAAACACCAAGCCCCAAAGCAATGTCTCCGACCAGCAAGAGAAGAATGCAATGATGATGGAGAGTTCATGAAGAAGCTTAAAAAAAGAAAGAAGAAAAAAAAAAGGTTAGAATAAAGAAAGAGAAAAACAAAGCCACTCTACGCTTCATATACCATGCTATAGCCACGCTGCTAATGCTCATGCTTCCGGTTAAAATCCGCCTCCCCCTTGGGTTTCTGGGGTATCTTTTAATGTTGCTCATCAAAGAAGTAAGAAGAAGGTTTTTTTTTTTTTGTTCTCGATTACGTCTGTAGAAACTTCTTGTCGAGAGCGCCCAATGCTCGCACGTCCTCCTTGAACTGCTGGATCGACGGCAGCGTCTGCTTCTGCTGGCCGTTCGCGACGGCCGCAGCGGCCGCTGCCGCCATGGCGGCGGCCCCGTTGAGGCTGACGACCCCGCCGGTCGGGGAGCCGTTTGTGGTGGGGGAGCTCGGGTGCAGGAGCGCCAGGAGGCTGCTGGACTTGTTGTTGTTGCCGGGGCCGTTCTCGGCCTTGACGAGCCTCGGGGGCGACGCCGACGCCGTCCGCGGGGGAGGGGTGCTCGTCGGCGGCGGCAGCGGGCCCTGGGCGGCGCTCCTCGGGTTGACGGGCGCCAGCCTCGCCTCGTAGGCCTGCCTGGGCGACTGGGTGGGGTGGGGCAGGGTCTGTGGATACGGCTGGGGCGACGCTTGCGAGTGCTGGCTGTCGGGGATCGCGCGCGGCTGCGACATGTGCGGGGAGTGGTGATTTGGAGGTGGCGCGTGCTGCTGTCCTGGGTAGGGAGGCAGGGTGGTCATCGGCGGAGTTCTTGATTGCGCGGCCGATGTTACTGGTGGTGGGAGTGGCGCGCGCTGTTGTTGCTGTTGGTGCTGCTGTTGATGTTGATGTTGCTGTTGATGCTGCTGCTGTTGGTGCTGTTGGTGGTGCTGCTGCTGCTGCTGCTCGTAGTGACCCGGCGGCGGGTGTGGAGGCGAATAAGGTGCGTAGTGGTGGTGCGGCGGCGGCGGGTGCAGCTGGCCGGGTGGTGGGTAGCCTGGGTGGGCAGCTACTGTGTAGTGGTGGCTATATGGCGGCGTCGCGGGCGACATGGGCCAGTTGGGGTAGCCGTGCTGGACGTAATGGGGATACGGATGGGCTCCCGGGTGCGGCGGAGGCGGCTGGCCGTGCATGTAGGGCGACGGCTGCATGGGCGTCCTCGTCATGGGCGGCACCTGGGCGTCGGTCATGCTCGACTCTGGGTACATGCCCTTGACGGGCATGATATGGCGCAGGCTGGGGTCGGTGCTCGGGTTTGGCAGCTCCGGGTGGCCGGGCTGCGGCCTCGCGTAGTAGGAGATGAGGTGTAGGTGCTGGCCGGTGGAGGTGGTGATGCTGAACGACTGCTTCATAAGCCCGTCGGCCTTGTATCTGTACCCGTCCGGCTCGCCCTCGTCCTGCGACCCGTCGCTGCCCCGCCCGGACGAGTCGGGCGTCTTGCCGGCGCCTCTCCTGGCGTTGCCGAAGCCTCCTCCCCTCTTGCCCTCCATCTCGCGGTATGTGAGAAAGCTACCGGATACCCTGCTGGCGCTCCACGACTTTCCGTCTGTCCACCTCCTCATGCCCGCCTCCCTCTCGTCCCAAACGAAAACCGAGCCGGATCTGATGGACTGGCGCTCCTTCTCCGATAGTCTTCTTTGTACCCTGGGGAGAAGGCCTATGCGACAGGCCTCGAACAGCTTGATGGCGTCGGCCGGCGTCCGGACGAAGCCGTGGTATGTTTCCATCATCTTGACGGATGTGTATCTGGTGGTGCGCCTCTGGGGTGTCGTGTTTGCACGGGCGGCTTGTTGCGCTTCGGCTGCGGACAGGGGTCTTTTTGTGTGGGCTCCGGTGTGTTGTGTGTGTGTCTTGGTTGCTCTTGTTCTTTGCTGTTGTTATTATATGGGGGAATAGGAGTGAGCCAGAGGCGTCGATGATCTGACTGATATCCGATATCGACTGCCGTCCAGCAAGTGATGGGAGGGTCGAGTCTCGGCGGCTGGATATGGGAATCGGGCGGAGGTTGCTTAAGAGAAGGTTTGGCTGACAGGGGTCAAAAGCCCTTCCCTTGGCCGCCAAGAAGACAAGCGTCAAAGACCCACCACCCACCCAAGCTCACAGTGCTGGCACGGCGCGGCCAGGGGGGGGGGGGGGGGGGGGGCCAAATAGAGTCGACCCTGGTGGTGTGGGCACCGATGGGGGCCTCTTCTAAAATTTGAAAAAGTGGTCGTCAAGATGGGGCCGACACGAGCAACCTAAATCACCGTCAAGTATTCCCAAGCAGATTCCCCACAGGGAAGCGCCGCAGACCCCGGCTGCAGAGATCTGCTCGGTCTTGGCGTTTCTAATGCGAAAGGCAAGTCTAGTCGAGACGAAAGAGAGGCCGAGTCGGCTCGGCGGGCTGAGACGATGGTTGCGAGGCCGCGGGCTGATGCTTTTGGTGCTTTTTTCTATGAAGACGTGGTGCCCCTGGCAGTTAGCAACGGGAACTGGTCGAATCAAAGGATGACGGTTGGCGTTGAGCCCATGACAGAAGCTTGATCCAAGAAGCCCTGCCTTCTCGGGACCCGCGCCATGTGTGCCCATGTGTGTACCCTCCCCCGACGACAGGCGGCCGCCGCTCGCTGGCCTCGACACAAGCCCTGCCTTCATTTCTACCCCCTCCCTCCGGACTCGGCCCCGGACTACTTATTGCGCGTCCCCCGACCCCTTGAATCGCCTGTCGCCGTCCCTCGTGCGCGCCGGGCCAGACAGCTTCGTAGGCAGACAGCTCGCAACCACCACCAGCCTTGACATGCGGACCGAGGCGACAGGGGCAGCCGCGGAGGCCGATGCCGAGCGTACGTTTGCGCGTGTGGGCCTAACTTTGGCAGGGACGGCAGGCTTGCGAGACGCCCAGGACCTGCGCTGGTGAGGCATGGACGCTTCGCCCAGAACCCGGGCCACCTGGGCCAGTACATGCGACCAGACCGACCAGCGACACCAGATCCTGACGCAAAACGCGCTGCACAAATGCTCTCGGCTCGCTGCCACACCCACCCCTTGGGACACTGGCCACGACGCACCTTACGATGTGACCAACGTCCGACTAAGGGACATAAGACACTGTCTGGCTGGCGCGATGCTTGATTTCTTTTTCCTTTCTGTTTGTTGTGCACTTTTCTCGTCTCTTTTTAGGATTTGCCTCTGCTCACCACAAGACAACTTCTTTCGCATGGTTCTGCCCCTGATTTCCGCATGATGGACTCGCCTTTCTTCGCTCTCGCATTTAGGGATTTCAGGACAGAAGCGGGACTTCCCGGTGGCAGGATGCTGTGCGGCGGGCAGAGATGGGAGACGGCCGTAGTGCTGAGCTCCATGTGCTTCTGCGCGGTGCCAGGTTGGCCAGCGTCATGTACTGCCTCTCGATAGTTGGGTGCTCTGAGGCGGGAGTGCAAGAAATGGTGTTGGGGGGACAGCGTGGCACGACGTCAATGACTTTTGGTGGCTGTGGGTGGTGCGTTGGGATGGGCAGGGCAGATTGGAGATGATGTTTCCATGTTTCGATGGTGTTTGTCAAACCACGCAGGTGTACGCGCGATAGAGACGCATGCAGAGGTCGACAGACAAGAGGATGAACCTACGTTCTATTGTCAAGGATCCTTGAGGGGATTCTCAGTTGCGGGTCAGGGCGGGTAGTTGGAAGTCGCTATCGTCATAAAATACGAATAAAATCAAAGGTGGCGGGCGCAAAAACGGCGGTTCGGGTCGAGCAGGCTCAAATAACAACGCCCAGCTCTCTCTCAGCTCCTGCCTGCCGTATTAGGCGGGGGAACAGGGCGTGCTGACTGGCTGATCAACTGACTGGACGACAATTGGAGCTTCTGCAAGGCAGGCTCATTAGCAGGCGGTTGTTGTAATTTTGAAGGGCGAGCCTGTCCAGTTTTTATGTTTGCACCGGTGGAAAGGTTCGTCCGGGCTGCAGGTGGGGGTGTCGGGTCAAGCCGTGCGTACCTCTAGGCTGAGAGCTGGAGGTGTGGAAGGAAGGAGCGTGGGGATCGGTGACGGTTGAGAATGGCAGGAAGGGGCAGAAAGAGGCATAAATACAGTCAAGGGCAGAAAAGAAGAGGTAGAGATAGGCTCAAGCTTTGGCTGCAAAAGAAGTCACCACCAAGCACCCAGCGATGCTTTATTGTTGTTGATTCCGAATCTGTCTTCGTTTGTTGGGTCGCTGAGTGTGGCCCCGAATACCCGACGCTGGACCCAGGAGACGGGACGAGATGGGCGAGGAATAAAAGACGAGGAATAAAAGACGGGGAATAAAAACCTAGGAATAAAAACCTAGGAATAAAAACCTAGGAATAAAAACCTAGGAATAAAAACCTAGGAATAAAAACCTAGGAATAAAACACTGTGAATAAGATACACGGGAATGGAATAACAAACCGATAAATACAATAAATTGGCAATACCTGCTGACGGCACAGCCGCCCTAAGAAATGGTACGCCTCCAAGGTACCTCTCCAAAGTTCCTCTTCCACTGATACCACCCGCTGGCGGGCGTCGGTCCCCTTCCAACGGCGTCGCGGCTGGCCATCCCAAAGCAAGCGAGCGAGGTGACGGCGACTCGTCGAGCCAACAGCAACGATACGAGCGGCTAAACGAACCTTGTTTGCACAAGAAGCTCCACGTCCTCCTCCTGGGTTCGGCCCCCCTCGTCGCCTTGCTGCGGCGACTGATGGCTGGCTGGCTGGCGCAGGCCTTGTTGTTGTTGCCTTTGCCCTCTGGCACAAGTGCAGTGGCAATCCTGTGGGCACACGGCACAAACGCTGGGAGGGGCCCTCTAGTCCCAAAAGGGCAAGTCGCTTTATTTCCATGCCTGTGTGGCACTGTTGGGCCCGCCTGGTGGTCGTTGGTTGTCTCGACTTGGTGCGGCGCGACGATGGATGGAATGCGAAAATCTGCAGCCCCTCGCCATGTCTTATCTGGCCTTGGCGCTGTTTTCTTTAATTCAGCCATTTCACACCAGCAGGTACCGGCTTGTACGAGGCTGTGGGCTGTCCCAGTACATGGACACGCGGGAAGCCAGTGTTGCAGAAGGAGCAGTAACAGCTGCTGTTTGCCTTGGCGCCAAACCCGCCGTCCAAGGCCTCGATGGACCAAGGACAAACGAAACAGGAACCTTTGGCAAAGCACGCTAGGCGGAACAGAAGCAGCCAACAAGAGCTCGGTATTCGGCGACCGCAGGAGCAGCAGCGCCCACCCTGGTCGGATTCGACATGGAAATACGATTCAAGCTTATTCGCAACCTCTTGTTAGCTGCCCCACCTGCCCAGCTTGCCTAGAATCCCGCACCCCTGGTCGACGACACCAGCTGGGCAGCTCAAACAGAAGAAAAGAAGAAGAAAAAAAAAATCGTGTCCCCCCGCCTGCTGGGTCGCGCACTAAAATAACCAAATAAATAAATAAACCGCAGCGCAGGCTCAGCAGCAAACGGCCAGCGCCTTGACGGGAAGGAGCCAGCCAGCGACGCTCAGGCCCGCTCGCGCCTGTTGGTGTCGCTCGGCGCTGCTCGCTGTCTTGTCGCCAAAGTACCACTCGGGCATAGGCACTACACCATCACCCCCACCTACTAGGTCTGATCCGACCCGAGTCCGACCAAGGACATTTCCCGAGCGGCGTGGTTGCTGTTGCTGCTCCAGTTGTTGTTGATGCTGATCTGAACACCCCCTTTCCTTACTGCGTATTACTCTCTCACTCTCCAGCCATCACGGCCGAAAGCGGTAAGCAGTTGGCTGGGTGCGGGAGGGAGGGAACTGGTCATCAAAATACTTGCTTGCCCTCTTTCTCTCTCGCTCTCTCTCTCACACACACACACACACCCACACCCACAAACACGCACACCCCTCCATCCTCAAAATTAACATCAGTCTTGTGTGCATAAATATGATCTACGGAAAATAAAAAAATAAAAAAAGTGGACTTCGGCCTGATATCCCTCATCGATTTTCCCCTTTTGGGACTTTGCGAAAGAAACATGACAGTGTAAGAGCAATACAGACCCGAAGCCGGTTTGGTCTCGTTGCTCTTTCAATTACCTGCTGCTCACTAATCACTATTTCTCGCTTCGCGTGCGAGGCCGACGACAGTAAACAACCCGGGGTCATGCATCATGTATCATGTGTCTCGCAAGACTTGGGTTCGGCCCACGCCCGACCTTGACTTTGTCCCAATGATGCTTATTATGCCGTCGTCCAACACCCAAGGAACAATTATTCATGACTTGGTCAGCTCTTGAGCGAATTAGCCCTTAATCTTCTTCGTCTTGCACGTCTTTCCGTCTCTCCAAGTCCTGTCTGCTCATCTTTTGCCTTCTTCGGCCACTGTCAACCAAACCATATCGCCTGCCCGACTCGTCATCGAACCCCCCCTCCCTCGTCCTCTCCGGTGGAGGGAGCACCCATCCATATCACAACACGGTGTTGCTACCCTCCGTCAAGGCGGGCCAACCAAGCGCAACGCGCGCAAATGAAACGAAGTTTGGTGGTGGTGTGTGCCCGAGGCGCCAAGGACGCACGCCCCAAGAATAACAGCGCGACAAGTAATGGGGTATCAGTCAGGGTCCGACAGAAGCAACACGCCGGCCGACATGACAGCATCAATCTCCATTGCATGTAACGTGCGCCCAGTCAGCTACCCTGGGCGCTCCCCGCCGTTGTCTGTTCTCTTCTGAACTCTTTTTTTTTTTTCCTTTCTTCCATCTTGACCCTCAACTTTCATCCCAACCCGCTCGTGACCGAGGGTAAAAAAGCTCGGCCGGGGGGTCGTTGTCTATCAGCATCGAACTCTAAACCGCATTATCGTTTGGCCCCCCCCCCGCGGGAGATTTTTGCTCCACCAAGAACAGGGTGTTGCTTGGACTGGGCGCTTCGTGTGTACCTTGGCTTGACCTACTCTGCCAGATCCCAACACGAAGTGGCACACAGGCTTCCAAAATATCTGCTCGTGCTTCACACGGGTTGGCGATCCCCTCAACCTACGCCTGATTTCCCTACCCAAGGCGACGGGAAGCTGCCCAAACGAATTCCAAGTACCGGACAGGGGGTGGTAGGCGCGCCCAATCTCCGCGGGATTGAATCGTAGACTGCAGGAGCACGAATTGAGGAAGGAGGAGGGGAAACAAGTGAGATACACAAAAAAAAAAAAAAAAAAAAAAACTCTCGAAAAAACTCGGACTTGACAGCGATAGGAAACGTGCGCAGTCTGCCGGGAGGACCTGTGGCAATCCATCTCGGCCGATGCTATGCCTGACGGGTACGCCTAAACGCCGCCAACGTGTGATGCTGCTCCGCCCGCCGCCTTGCGCATCCATCCATCCGCCCATCCATCGTCGATCCATCAGCACCCATCTATCTGCCTCGCCCATGTCATATATCATCATCTCGGCCTCACAGTCAGCATCCCCTCCTTCCCAAAGCACTAACCCCTCGGGGGGCTATGCGGGTTGGACAAGGTGCTTGGCGGGCATGCAATGCCAGACGGTTGGAAGTTCCAAGGTCGGACGGACGACGCCGCCGTGCTTGATTGCATAGCAGTAAGATTTTCCTCCCCTCTTTGTTTCCTGCCTGCCAAAGCGCCCTGCATGTGTTGGTGCGTCTGCCGTGAGACGTCCAATTCCCCCTTCCCTGCTTTCCCCATCTCGTGCTGTCGCCCATCACATCCTTCTCTCGCTCTCTCTCCAACGCATGCACCCATGTGCGACTGGTCAAGGCAGCACAAGGTGAGATATATACGCACGACGTGGCAGGCGTCGACGGACACCGAAACCCGAGATTTTAAAATTCACGAGAGTCTAGTTGCCCTCCCCTTCCCCCTTGACTTTGTTTCTGTGCCGCCATTCGCCGCCGTCGCACCGAGGGGCGGCCACTAGAAGAGGGGGGGTGGTCTCGGGAGAGGCGGCGGCTGCTACACGCGCACATACACAGACACTTGTATAAACGGCCCAAAAAAAAAAATTGGCTCCCTCGACGCACACGAGGAGATGGCCACGGAAGTCTGCTCGACGGGCGCGCCGCTTACTCACACGCCCCTCACACAGCCCTGTTACCCATCAGGCCGGCGCACCATGATCCGTCGCACAGCACACACCCCCCATCTACTGGGGCTCTCTCTCACATGCGATGCTGCTACGGCGGGATAGTGCATGCAGGGCTGGCCATGCGGAGGGGCCGTTTTGCTTTTTCTGCTTTTTTTTTTTTTTTGTTGTACCCTCGCAGTAACCTGCCTGACACGTCTGAACCAAAGAATTGTGGATATAACAATACCGACTCGTGGATGTTGGTGACTTGATACCGGGCGTACGATATGCACGTGGACTGTGAAAGAGTTGGGTCCGTTGAATCGATCCCAGGTGGTGGCAGCCTGTCGACCAGGGGCCCTGTACACCCCTGACGATCTGTTCCTGGGGTTGCTGCTGCTCCCGCTCGGGCAGGTCAACCACTCCGACCAGCCGAGGAGGGAGTGGGTAGGAGATGGGAGGGAAAAGTCTAACAGGAAGCGAGAAGAAGGAAAGACAACCTCTTTTCCCAAAAGATGCTCCCTTCGCGTCCGTTCGCCCCATGACGAGCGAGAGGAGGAGGGGAGGGCAGCCCGAGTCGGGGCCAAGGTTATTGGAACGGCATCCAGAATCGACTAAATGTTTCGCCCTGTTCGTCGAAACCCGGTCGCAAGGCGGAGAGATCGGGTGACGTCTAAACAGAGTTGGGTTGTTCCGGCTCTTTCTCGCGAAAGCCGGCAGCTCCCATTCGCCGTTGGGGACTCGGGCCATCATGTCATCAATGTCATTCTATCCCAACGCTGCACTGGATGGCCCCGGTCGTGGCACGCACCTCGTCGTCCGCTTTCGCCTCGTCTACTTTTGTGTTAGTTTGGATTTATTTTTCTATTTGTTTTCGTGTTTTCTTTACTTTGGAGGGTGACAGGATCGCGATTTGGTTTCCTCTTGTTCCACCAGACCTACTTTCGGCTACATTTGCGCCGAACCAAAGAGAAAGAGGGGGGGGCCTAAAACGCCAAGCTAGCCAAGCGGCTCGTCTGACGACCGCCAATGCCCAGGACCTTCCAAGCTCCCTCCCCAAGACTGGCCAGGCGAGCAGAGATCCAATCCTGGACAGCAAGGGTACGACGGGCAGCTCGGCAAGGCGACTGACTGTATCTGGGAAGGGCGGCGGCGGCGGCGGCGGCGGCGACGGAGGTGAGGGCCTCCCCGATAAGCATGTTTTTAAGCCTCTGCCCGAGCAAACCTGCTAGTGTGGATGCCGCTGACTGTAGATCGTAAGGAAAAGAGGGGGAGGGGGCTCCGCGTCGTGGTTGGGCTGTCTGCCAGCAACATCCTCTTTTCTTTCTTGGCCTAGGGCCTCCATAACAGCCATTGAGTCATTGCGACAAAGCCACTAACTACTTGGCTGGCTTGGCACGCAACTGGGAAAGGCCAGCCAGTCAATCGTGTTGCCTGGATGGTCCGTGCTAGAAGCAAGGAAGCGATGCTGTCCATTCCGTCGGTATACTTGAATTGTTACTCTACGTTCGGCCAAGTGACGAATACCTAGCCACGCTCAAGGCCCACGAGTCCAATCTGCGGGGTTCTGGGATAAAAGGGAAAAGAGGGATTTCCATTTCCATCTGCCCGCCCGCGCCGAAAGCGCGCTAGCTCAGAGCGAGAACCCCCTCCTCTTGATCTCCACGGCTGGCCACGAGGGCGCCCCATCTCGATGGAACCCAATTGTAGCGGTTCGCTTAATCCGTGGACAGTCAAGGGTTACGCAATGTGCTCATCTGGCCACACCTGACCCTTGCTGGACAGGGAGACAGACAGGCAAGGACAAAATGGACCAGAACGGGGAACAATACAGGATCGGTCCATCAGACTTTTGTGGCTGACTCTTCTCGCACTCGGCCGTTTGCCCGCTCTCGGGAGCCCAGCTGCGCCTTGTCGCAAAATTTAACGACCGGCTTACAAGACGCTGGCTGGCACAGGCATGAATCCGACGTCTTGGCCGGAGCCGCACGTCCACAAGGAGAAGAAGGGGGATTTCGACTGACAAGACACACCAGCCCGCATTCCTCGGCGACAATAATAGGCTGACCTCGAGAGACAGGAAGCGGCGGTCAGCAGCGCGATGCACCAAGGGTGGCTGCTCATCTACAGCTCCCCCCTTGTCTGTATTCCAGAGCCTGCTCCCGCCAAGGCCAAGGGAGCCAGGCGTGGCGTCCGTTCGATCCGTGGCTTTGTCTGTCTGCGGATCGGCGCACTCGCATAGGTCAGGCAGGCAACCAGTAAAAAAGTGCGCCCGGAAAGCAAACCCGGGCGACCACTTGCCATAGAAAGGAAAAGAAAAAAGCCGCTCACCGCTAAGGGTAACGAGTGGCGGGCTGAGAATCGGAAAGAAAATCCCAGCTTAGCCCCCCTTGGCTAACACGGCGAGCTGTGGGTTTAGCCTGGCCCTAGAATGTATCTTACTTCTACCCCACATGTTGGTTGATCCGGGATGCCCCTTCGTTTAACGTATTCTCTAATTTGTGTTCCCGCGTCATTTTGTGCCGTCATTGTGCCAAACCGCCTCGTTGAACCCGCCATAGAGCTGTTGCAAGGGAATGCATTGAGCGAGAAGATGAAGGAACGAGGAAAAACAAACCTTAGTAATCGAGACCAGCTGTGCTCCCGGCGATGGGGCTGGCTGGACTGGGGTTTTAGAGTGTGGCTTATTGATGCGGCGGGCCATGTCTCTGTGCTTCCACACAACGCAATTCTCTTTGTATTTCAGGAAGGGGGTGGGCTGAGAGAGAGGCTTCTGCAAAGTACTTACCTGCCCAAGCACCACCTACCCCGGCCAGCCCTGTGCGTCGAGGCGTGCAGCGCGGTGTGGCAGTCCCGCCAACCCTTTTGCAAGATAAGCGGCTGATGATCGAGACCCCTTGCCCAACATGGATGGGGCGGCACCATCTGCCCTGGTCCAACCATCCGAGCAGCTGCCTCATTGGTGGTGGGTGTTAGCAAGCCTTC